TCAAAGATGTATATATATATCTCACTTGACCACATCAGCAATTATTTTTGGATTACTGGATAACTATTTGCCAAAACTTAGCATTTGCACTTCTTTTTCTTTAAGCTTTTAATCTTTAACAGGAGTTGTGCAGTGAAAAGTGGTTCTAAAATCACATGAGATTTTACTCTTTGCCTACTTCACAGTGAAGCTTAAACACATTTCAGATGCTTATATGTAGAAATACTTTTTTGTCTTGTCCCTCAGTGTCGGTTCATGATCCAAGCTGAGCTGTGTTGCTCTTCTCTGAGTTCAACTTGGTTTAGTGGAATTTAGGAGGCAAACTCTAGTTAGTGTTGAGGAACGTGTTGTAAACAATGACGAATCTTTGTAGCTCTTGCAGTTTAAACTGTGCATAAATCAGTATATGTGAGTTTTGTGAGGTGTTTCAAAGGATCTAAGTAAATCAATTTTAGTAGATGAGACGTCATTCACTAAAATTGACAAAGTCCACTTATATATGCTCCCTTTGCTTACAGTAAAGTAAAAGTATAGCTTTTACACCTTGCAGGTAGTTAGATTTACTAATTCAGCTGAACTGGAATGTTAGTAACTAATTGCATCAGACGCTTATCTTGCTTTTTTTTGTTTTTACTTTAGTTTTCAAAATTATAAGGAAGCTACTGAAATCCAAGATTATAATTTTTCTTCAGTTATTTTGTGATGAGACATTGCAAATGTTTCCTTCAGATCCTATCTGAGTGCACCTCATATCTGCAATTGATTTAAATAGCATGACTCTTTTAGAATATGAAATTAGGTAAAGCTCAGACATGCACTGATCTATAAATGTTGATTTTTTTTTCTTGTGGGGTCTGATTAGAATAACAAGATCATCCATAGTGTTCTCAAAAGGTTTCTGAAATTCAGCAAGCCTTCACAGCTTTTTTTTCTTTGTGGACTGCAGTGAAATATGACCAAATAAGTGCACAGAGAGGTTTTTGTATGTTTGTAATGAGTCTTTTCTCACACTCGTAACAAATAGATATCTTATGGTCCATTTAATCCCCATTTAGCTGTAGTTTCACAAGAACAAGAGAGATGATGATTTTGACAGCAGTAGAGTACTTTACATATTCTGAATCTTAAAAGCTAGAGCTCTTGAAGTGTCTTCTCTTCCATGATGGAGCGTAATGTCACAAAAGCATGATCCATGCTATCTGAAGTGCTACTTCAGACTTTGTAGAGTTATCACTACAAATCTCCATATTATCTACTAGTAAAAATGATTCTGTCTTTTTTTGTCCCTCTTTGAAATACATACAAGATTTTACCAGTCAGATTTGAACTCATAGGTGAGTTAAGATTATATCGTGATACCAAAATTCTGTGTCTTCAGAAAATGGATACCATATACACTACTTAATGTGTTAAGTAGCTCCTGACCATTACTGAGGTGATCGCTAAGTAGTACTAATGCAGAAATGGAAAAAAATAGGTGTGTCTATCTCGCAAGAGCTTGATGCTCTTTCAAAACTTGAAATTAGCTTAAAACTTGAAATTAGCTTGGCATCTATATGACTGTGTTTCTCAAGAGGGAACCAATGGAAAGGAATCTCTGCTCCAGCCCTGCTAATTTAGATGGTACATTTTTCAGAGAACAGATACACTTTTTTTCTGCATGGTTCTTCTCTGAGGCCACTGGTTTTACTGTAGTACAAATGACTTTTCTGGCCGAAGGCAGTTTTCTACTTCAAGTTAGGTAGACTGCTACTGCAAAGCTATGAACTGAAATATAGCAGTTAGTATGAGGCAACTTAAAAATTAACCTTTATTTCACTGTAATATTTAGAAATCTTGCCAGAAGATATCAAGCAACAGAAAACAGTGTAGATATCTCATAGTGACTTTACCAGTACAGCAGACAGGGAAGTTGTTAGCACAGCTGCATTTTTTTGAAACTTGAAAGACATACCTATTGCTACTGAGGCTGAAAGGGTCAAAATTACGGAGATAATTACAACACTGATAAAAGTAGGTTTGTGTTAACACAGATAAATTTTTATTTGTTGTTGACAAAAGGAATTTTGAGCCAGAAAACACAATTGCGTGTTAAAATAATTTTAATTTTCAAATGTGAATTGAGAAATGTGATCCTGAATTTTTGACAAATCCTAAGGACAAGAAACTTATTAAATAACTCCAGACCAGTTCTACTGATAAAATATATATATCCCTCTGCAGGAACAGGCATTCAGTTTCTTGGGACCAAACCAAAAAAGTCTTATCTTGCCAAATGGCAAATTGAAATATTAAGCTTCCTCTTATCATCAAGACGTGCCTAATTGAGCTGGCAGTGAATAATCTTATTAGCATCACCTTGGAAGTGTTTTTGAAGACTTTGATTTTTCTTGTATATGCCTTAGAGGTATATATGTTGTTCACTGTTATCTGCGCAAATTGTTTCTATAAAGATTTCCTAATGACCCTGTCTGTCTTAATGCTCTTCAAGCTGCAGTTTAATTTTCTTTGTATTTGTCAGTACCTTTCAAGTACCAGAGAGATTTGTTTTTTTTTTAATTACTGAATAATATTCTTTTTTTAAGTTTATAATGTATGTGCACTTTCTATTATGTAGGCTTTTGATTTCTACA